TAGAAGTGAAGCTCTTCCACCTCAGTGCTCTTCTCTGCTCTTTAACTCTTGACATAAAAGAGGTGATGAAGCCCTTCTCTTCTGTCCCAAGCTCTGTACCTATGTACAGGCCAAGGAGAGTCTACAGAAGTAAAAACTTTACAAGAATGGTGAAAAAACCAAGTCTGTCATGGGAGTGAGGGGATGAGCAAGGGTACTGCATGCAGTGGGACAAGAGAAAATGTTCAATACTTGAGAGAAAGGCTAGAGAGAGGCTGGTCACAAGTGTGTCTTACCTCAAACTACAACAGCTAACAAAGCAGCACTGGCACTACTGTGAACTCTTTATTCTCTGTCTTTCTCTACAACCTTAATGTCTTAAAACATAAAAATAGTCTTATTTTTGTTCATCCTGCTTTGAACCTTTCTAAATTCATCTTCGGTTATTTTAGCAGCTCATTGTTATTAATGATGTTCTATTGCTTAACTGTAAGATATAAATAACTCAGTGAATCCCTTTCCTTTCGTTCTCTCTACTTTTGAGTCTTCCTTTCTTTTCTTCTAGTCTTACATCTACTCCTCCTTCCCCTTTTATCATGTTGTACTCTCTTGTAAAGGTGTGAAAGAAGTAACACAACCATAAAAAAATAATACCACTATGATAAGCTTAATTAATACAGCTCATGGGGAAAATGTGAAAATGGCAGATAGATCAACAGTAGTCTTTTCTTAGATGTGCTTCATTCTGGGATTTGAGGCAACATGAGTTGCTGGTGAACAAGGTGGTCTGAAGGATATGGGCTTGGCACTTCCACTGCTGAACACCTGGAGATCTATGAGTGACAGTGTGTTTTGTTGACAACCCAAGCTGCTACGAGTCTTCCTTAATTTTCCTTAATTTTACCTGAGGAGAAGAAAAATCTATCCCCGGATTTTTCATGCTTGTGTCCACACTTGCTTGATAGATTTCACCAGAAATATTTGTGTGTCTAATGGTTGATAAGCCAGGGAACGTGAAGTGATTCTAGAGAAAGATTGTGCAGATTTACCCAGCTATTCCGGTGAGACTATGCAACAATATGTAATAAAGGGAATGCAAGAGGTCCATGATGGCTCCATCTGCTGAGCCAAATGAGGTTCATTTACTCTTACTGCACTAGTTTCTGTTCTTCAGCAAATTGATTAAAATGAAGCTGCCTACTACCTGGTACCTGGTGTGATCACAGATTCTGTGAGCATGTAACTACTCTAATTGGAGATACTAATTTTATATTTAAATAGTTTCACAGGCATAACCCTCAGTACAAATGACTTATACTATCTAAAAGTCCCCTTAGTGATAACTATAAATGTGTACTGAGTTTTATAGTTGTTTCTAGTAATCTTCCACACTTTGTCAGATAGAGGAGGTAGAATATTGATCATGCAATTTCCTTCCTGCTTTCTGTACAACAAGAATTATTCTAAATACTGCATCTTTCTGTAAATGGATATACCCCACTAATTTTTAAGCAAAGGATACAATAGTGCTTACTACCACCAGTACTACACTTAGGGTCTGGAGACGATGGGTAGAGTTAGGGCTGGCAGGTGCAGTGGGGGAGCTTTTTGTTCTTTGACTGTATTTGCATGAATAGTAATATATTGCTAATGTCTGTGTCCTTAAATGACTCTTACTTAGTGTATGACAGTAGTTTTCAGTTGTAGTTGCTGCATGCTGCTTTGTAAGACTTTGTTATTGCTTTAATCAGTTTCATTACACCTCGGTGTCTAGATCCTCTCCTTGTCAAAATATCATAGTAAGGCATTAACCATGGGAAGATGATATGAATCTTAAGGCAGTGGGATCTGGCATTGATGCCGAGGCATTTCTGCTCTTCCACGATGTAGTCGCATGTTCTTGTATTTCTTTTTTTTTATTATTATTTTTTATTTTTATTTTTTTATGCCTGACCTAAGCAGAACTCTATCTAGTTATAGCCTTATAAGAGAATTTGCCTCTTTAGTTAACAATGGATTTCGTAGCAATCGCAATGAGCACATTTTGTCTATTTCTGCTTATCTGACCCTGGAAAATTACAGGACACGAACTGGGGAAAAATAAGTAGCAATGAACAGGATCACACGAGAAGTGCCTTTGCCCACTGTGGCTGGGAAAGAGCTACCAAGTTGGTTGTTACACACAGTGATTGATCCCCTCTCCTTCAACGGTTACATGATAGATAAGGGAAATAGTCAAGTCTGGAAGAAGCTATTTTGTGCTCATATTAACTGGAGGATTTTCAGCAGATGTCTTAATAGTTGGAAATCAGCAATAGTATGTGGATTTATTTGTATGCCATCTGAACCATTTGACTTGCCAGATGCATGTTGTTTAATAGCCTTTTGTACATCATTTTCAGAAGATAGTTGTAGTAAGATTTTCTTTTATTGTGTGAAATAACCCATTTTGTGGGTAGCATTTCCTATTGTTAGAATGTGTGTTGAAGAGACTAATCGGGTGTACTCATTGCATAGAAAAGAGAATATGCAAAATGCTAGCCTGTGTGTTGAGAGGCACAATTGAAACTTGTGATGAACTCATCCTTTATATATTTTTTGAACAAGACACATTTTTCTCCTTTTTAGATGTCTTTTGGTTGGCAGTGATCTTTTCTTTAGGTACTTAAAAGCCACTTTGCTGCTTCACTGTTTAGATTGTTTCAGTCATTCCTATCTTCTTGTTATCAACATTATCATACACTAGTATGTTTTAAATTATTTGCGGACATTTCAGTCCTCTACCTTAATATAAAAATAGCTTCAGCTTTCTGTTGTTTTTATATTAAAGTATATCTAAAAAGATAAATGAAATCTTACACTGACTCATATCATGCTCTACCTGCCAATCCCTGTATGATTGGGAGAATGTGAAATACATGTACACATTGATTAATAACTAAGAACAAGATTATTTTATTGATTTTTATTTTGATTATCCCTCAGTACTTCAATGATGTTCATAAATACCTCTGGTCATTTGGTTATGTAAGTGTTTATAATTTCACTGTATTTGCTGTTCAACAGTAATGGTGATTCATTCAAAAATATTCATCGATTTCAGTGGCAATTCCTATCATGTTGTATTAGATTCTGGGAATGAGCATAACAGACATACGGAATGACAAGGAAGAGAGCTTGAAAGATGTCAAATTGGAGTTTCATAAAATTTAATTTGTTGATCAATTCACATCAAATACAACTTTGTGACTATTTTTATGCACAAAGGTAATCAGAGTCCATGGAAAAGAGTGGCCAGATAAAGATCAACAAGATTATCCAGGTTTTTGGAAAAACTGTTATACATGTAGATGTAAAAAATAATAATAATAATAAATATATATATATATATATATATTTGAGGGAAACTTATCAATTTGAAGGCCCCTCATTCCTCCAGTCATTGGAGAAATCTGCCGTCTACCAACGACAAAGGTCCCAATTGAATCTTGATGCAGGAATGTGTAGGACTGATTCAGCAACTCCAGCCACCAGATGGTAGACTCTGCTTACTGGTTACGTCGGCTCTAGTGTCTGGTCACCAGTTGGCAGAAACAGCAGTAGACAAATTACATCACCTTAGAATCACAAAGCACAGCATCACTGCTGTATTTTGATGCAAGTATACTCCTTCTTTCAAATTTCTGTTAAAACACAAAAAAGCACTAAATCCTAGTCAATATTACGCAGCATCTATAAATATTCTCAGATGTAGACTGAGAAGGAAAGTATATTTTTATTAGGCTGTTTATTATGTGAGTGGAATTAGCAAGAGACAGTTGGTGTAGAAAATTAATGAACTAGAGTTTCATGGCTGGAATTTACTCCAACCTGCCTTATGTTACCAGTAAAATTTGTTTGGGGAACCTCAACATACTCTTTAGGAGACATTTGTCCATTTTGCCAAATGATCACACAACTAATGGCATCCTCTGCTATATTTTTAATTTTTCTTTCATTGTGTAGAAACAAAATATAGTGATAGAACACAAATGTTTGCATTTATACAGAATGGTTTTGTCAAAGCCTGTGAATCATTTGCGTGTGTGGGAGATATATATATATACGGTTTAGAGTCATACCAAATATTTGAAAAGAGACAGCAAGGACTAATTGGACAAAATCTCAATGATTTTGTGCCTAGTTAGGTATGAACTGTAAGAGACAGCTGAAAGCATTGGATGTTGCAAAGAGAATGAAAACATCTGTCAGAAATACTTTCCACAGATTATACTCAGTCCAGCTATTAATTAAATGATTTTGCATTACTACGTCTAACCGAGGAGATCCTTCGTTACTGAGAGCAAACCAGAGGTTTGTATTTGACCTTCCACATCCAAGAAGATGGTTGTATACCATCTCCTAACAGTGTAAGAAAGAAATGGAAAGGTCATCCCATACACATGGAAGTATTTACTCCATCTGAAAAGCAAAGTTTGAATGTCGCAACTGCTGTGGATTTCACTTTACATTCTGTGAAGTAACAAACTTCTATCTTTGATCTTCAGACTTGCACTGTCATCTCCATTGCCATGAGAACTGGAGTTGTGAGAAGGCGATTTCCTTCCGAGCTACCTGACAGGAGTGTAGCTGTGAACCACTGCAGTCCTGCTTGACATTACCAGTGGGTTTTAGGCTTAGTGTCTGACACACCAATTGCCAAAAGCCTGATCCAAGTCCCATTTAAATGAATGGGGATTTTCTATTGGTTTTGGTAGGCTTTACTTCTGGCCTCATTTTCTGCAGTGCCACTGGCTTCACTGCCATCCTCGCTTGTAATGCATTGCCATGAGACTGTCCTCTGAGCTCCTGGTAGACTCTTGTAGGTGGAAGATGGAGAACGGATTGATGGTACAAAACCAGGGACAATTTTTTGTTCTTTATTCTTTTTTTTTGTAATTATAATGGATGGACCACCTCTAATTTCCTGTCATCTGCATCTAGTTGTAAACGAGGGTTTGTCACAGCATTGATACCCGTTTGCCCATTGACATTACTTTGTGCTTTATGAAGCAATATTCCTCTGTGCCCTCATTTCTCCCTTGCTCTGAGGCAGATGATGTGATGAACAGGACTTTTCATGGTGAAGTACATAACAAAGGCATTCCAGTTTTCTAGGAGAGAGGATATAAATACTCTTTAATTATTATAATTGACTGAGAATATTTGCATTTAACAGGTTTAGTGGAAGGCAAGCATCCTTATATGTTACAGTTACAATTTAGTTCTGAACTTTCAGAATCCCATTGTACTTCATACAGTCCTACGCCATTCTGTCTTCCAGTTCATTGAACAAATGACTTCTGTCCTAGGGCCAAAATCTGAAAGTACCAACCGCAGATCTCTGGAGTAGGACCCTGACTCAGAGGAATAATATACAAAGATTCACCTAATCTTCTTTGGCATGAAAAATTCAGCTGGACAGCTAGTAGGAAAAAGCCTGTTATGACCTCTGGTACTTTCTTCTCAAGTCAGACTGCTGCATAAAAGTCCATTTTGTAATAAGTTGCTTTTTCTGTTTCTTATTCTTACTGTTCCAGGAAGCGTTATCCAGAGCTGTACAAAATCGAAGGACTGATTTGTTCAAAGCTAATTGAAAATTCTCAGACCTATTAAAAAATCTGTTCTGGATTTAGTTAAGCTTTTTGTTGAATCCATATTTTTCAGCTCTAAGCCTATGAATCAGAATGTCTGAAACTTGAGTTGTAATCAACAGTTGGGTATGGAGTGTGCCGGGGGATGTCATATCTCCATGATGCTATAGACTATGCAGCTGAACTGTTGTGTATGAAAGCAAACTGAGAGTTACTTGGTCACTGCAGATGGCTTTTTCCCAGGACTAATCAGGAAACTACATAACAACATGGAGAAAATAAACTAGCTTTAAATAGTTCTACAGAGGTTCTGGAGGCAGGAGCAATTCCGTGCTGCCACAGCTTATTTTTCTCAAGTAACCAAGCTTGCTTGGATATTTCCATATATAAATGTACATAGATATATAGAGATGCATGTAACTGTATATATGTATATAGACACATAGATGTGTATAAATGGAGTCAGAACAGTGATGGCCTGCTTGGGCACAATAACAGAAGTCCCTCTTTCAGAGACTACAGAGAAACCAAAATTTTAGCATAAGATTTTACAAGATTCTACTCTTCCTATAGCGATCTCTTTTCATGAGTCTTTTCATCTAATGGCAAGCTCTGCTGCTTAATACCAGAAAACTTTAATGTTCTTGAAAGCACAGCAGCCAGATATTTGGTAGTTGATTTGTAGAATACCTGCAATACCCTGGAAGATTATTTTAAGAATTTTTTTGCAAAGTGATACACCTATAATAAATGATTCATTAAAGTAATTTGATGCTAGCGGAAACATTTGTTTTTCAAAACCACAGCAGCACCAAAAATGAGGGTGAATGATGACATATCAAGCTGAGAAAACATTGCAAACAAACATAAATAATGATTGGTTTGTCTAGGATATTTTTTCCTATTTTCTTTTGTAATTCCAACTAAGATAAATTTGTAAGTGAGCATTACTGTTGCAATTCTCCTTTTAAAGTGTGTACCAATATATTGTATAAACATGAGTTTTTTAAGCCATTTAGAGTGCCACCAAAGTAGCAGGGCATTAGGTTCTCATTCATTCATCTGAAAACAATTAGGAGAAAATGCCACTTATCTTAAATAGTATTTGTCAGATTTTCTTCATCAAACTTGGTAAATACATATCTTCTGACACTTTGATGTATAATCATCAGCCTAGGGTAAACCTAAGTGACTGGGCTTTGGCCCGTGAATAGCTTTTGTTGCTGTATGACATTAAAATGTTGTGTTTTTTTTTCTTTTTTTTTTTTAAGATATAATGAATATTCAAAATTAGAGTTATTCTCCATTGTACTCACAGTAGGTCAAGTGTCATAAGATCAGGAGAATACTTAGTATGCAATCTAGAGGCTGTATAAATGGTTCTGAATTGAATTTTTCACATGGTGTATGCTCTGGAACGTCTGGTGACGAAAAATGTCAAATAGGCACTATCAATTTTCATTTGAATGGACAACTAGTTGAAATGGAGATTCTTTAGGATTCTTTGGATTGACAGGTAGAGGAAGGCATTCACCCTTTTATTACCCTGAAAACCTTTTGAACATGTATCCTCCAGAATTAGAGCCATTCCATCCCAATTCTTTCTTCTGCACAGTCCAGTCATTGATAAAACACTGAGCACTACCACCTGAGGACTTGCAGTCTGTCACTTAAGTGATGATGCTACATGGGAGATTATTAGGAATGCTATTTCTTAAAATAATTCTTTCACTTTCAAAGTTTAGGGTAATTTTCTAGCATCTTCTCTGTAGTGGTTTCATCATTAAAAGAAATCTAGAAGAGCTTGCAGTTAATGCCCTACAGTGATTTCTGTATCTCACAAGGATTTTACATAGTCATAAATTCCTGATAAAATCATTTGCATAGACCATGGAAATTTGGATCGGAGTTATGATTTACCTTGTTCAGCTACTTTTAGTCTTCAACCAAATACTGCAATATCCTAAGTTACAGGCAAAACTGTAATTTGAAATTAAGTGGACAGATGGACATAAATTACTTGATTCAGTTTCTTTTTCTGTAGGGAACAGAAATATTTATGAAAGTAACAGGAATGGAGGGGGAGTAGAGGAAACAACAGGCTTGTAGCTATAGCTGGCTCAGCTACAGTATTTTTGTTGTTTTTTGAGGGGGGCAATGGGGTTGTTTGTTTTATTAATTGTTTGCCAAGTAGTAATGGAGTTAGTCACACATTGGCTGTTCTAACTTTCCTTTTCCCTCAGTTGTCTGCTGGAAGGGCTGGTAGGGAGATTTCCATCTGCAGCTAAGTTTGAGGAGTCTTTCTGGGCACACAGAGGAACAACACTGCGGTGTTCCACTTTTCTGAGGCTGTGCAACAGCTGATGTCCTGCAGGTCGGTGAGGGTAACACTTCCCTATGCAAGTCTGGCAGCTCCAGGGAGCACCAGGTGTGCCACGTGTGTGCAGGAATAGTGTGCATGTGCAATAGATTTTGTGCTGCTGAGGGATAAAAAAAAAAAAAAAAGGGTTGTTGCATGCTCAGAATAACCAGTCTACGTAGCCATGTTGCACTCAAAACTTTGTTGTGCCTCTGGGATCCCCAAATTGCCTGCAGGAAAAGGGCTTCTGGGAGTCACCAGCCAACCAGCAATTCTTACTGATGGCATGTAAACTGTGAGCTAAAGGATGAAATAAAGCATCAGTTGATTTCCACTCCCTCCCCAAGCTCGATCAAGCCATCTGAACCCTGTACTAGAGGATCTTTGGGGCAGCTCCTGTTCTTTAGTCTTGGCATTGCAACCTTCTCCTTAAGGGCAGCTCTCCTTCTGGCGGCTCTTGCCCAGTGCCCATAGGGAACACGGTTATAAACAGCAGGGCACAGGCTCAAATGTTGTGTTGAGGATGATCACCCGGAGAAACAGAATAGTGGAGGTTTAGAGGAGTGTTTTTCTGATCTAACTCAAAAAGTGTCGGTGTCATTGGAAATCTGAGTTTGGTGACTCCAAGACAAGCTACTCCAGTTTTAGATTATTTTATTTTATATATATATATATATATAATATATATACCATGTCTCTGCATAAACAAACAGTTCCTCTGAGGAAAGGTAAGCATTGTTGAGCATAGTAATGAAGAGAAGTAAAGTTTCAAAGGTGTGATCCCACTTTCCTGACGCATTTGAAATAGGCAGAGAAGTCAACAGCATCTTTGTTTTATTAAATACTGTAATAATAATGAGAGGTCCAGAATTTCTAAAAAACAAATAAAGTTAATGTAGTATCTGGAGTCTGACCTCGGGTCTAAATTGTGATTCTAATGTTAATCATAATGAGACGTAGCTTCACACCCCATAAATCCAGCCAGCCTGTTTCTACTATCCAGTGCAATATTTAAATAAAGAGCAGTTTCACAAAGACATGCATCACTATAGATTCCCTTTTTGCACTTTTTCAAATTATGTTGCTGCTTTATACAATCCACCTTTCATAAGCTGTCTGCCAGAAAGCTCTAAAAATAATAGCACAGACGCTTGCAACAACAAATTGGCTACCTCACTTTCAGTGAATCGAATGTTCAAATGAAAAGGTTTTTGCTTCCAAGTATTTGAAGCATACCTTGAATATGTTACCAGGCTCAGATGTAATGGTTATAAAAATAAAATAAAATAAAATGGAAGATAAAGAGGCTGTTTACAGTCATTGTGATTTCCATTTTTTAAAATAAGATGTACTGAAATGAAGGGCAAAATGGGATAGTTTGACATGGTTAGTAATTGCCCACAGATATGGCTTAAAGAAAAAGTCTGTCTTTGTACTTTCTACATCATCTGTATGGATGCATGCCTATGTGTACATGTACTTGGGTTGCCTCCGTCAGATTATTTAAAGGGTTCAGGTTCATCCTGTGTCCAGGAGGGAGCAAAAAGAGGTGTGGAAAGAGCAGGGCTCATCTGTGCATATCGGAGTAAGAACAGGATTCCTACCTGGCTTCTTGGTATCAGCTGGGGTTCGTCTAGTAGGGTCAGGACAGCTCCAAGTTTCTGTGATCTGCGGGTAGTACTAGCAGCTTTCTGTTCTTTGTGGCTGAGGAGGAACGGTTTCTTCATTGTTGTATTTTCTAAACTAGAATAAATTTGGGGGATGTTCAGATATTTAGGCAAAGTATATGTTCTCTCTTTATGTGGCTCTATACATACTACTTGTGTGAACACGAAGTTCTGCCAAAGTCTGTGAAAATATTTGTGAATATTCTCACAAATGCAAATGATATGCGCTCTCTGCTGAGGAAAATGAAGATGAGCACCTCCTCATAATACCATTTCATTTTCATGCAAATTGTCCAAAACTATGAAAACACCTGAGTACCTGTGACTTCATCCAGTTACCAGATGCCCTCAGGTTGGATATGATGACATGCTTGCGTATTCATGAGATCATTTTTCACAATCTATTCACGTATGGCGCTTGCAAGCCACGCAGCCTGCTTTCTCCTGGGAACTAGAAAAGAACAGCTGAGAACTGAGCAAAACTTTACAATCTTTTTTTAAACATCCATTTCTAAAACTGAGTTTTTCTAGTTTCCCCCAAACTTCCTGGGACAAGTTCTTCCCGCTCTTCATACCGTAAGTGATAAAATGCAAATGTCAAACATTATTAGTTCTGTACCATAAGTACTAATTTTTGGTTTTGCTAAGCAGTTTATATAGGAAAATCTGGAACATTTCCAGTCGTCTTCACTATCATTTAGTCCTTAAAACCCAGAACAGACATTTAAACTGAAAAACATTATATCTTCTCTGCAGATGCACATGCAGCACCATCAGAAGATGAATAGTTGTAGTCTTGAACTGGCGTCGCTATCAAATAGACTCTGTATAATTAAATAAGAAAGCGTCTTAACAAAAAATTACATCTTGGGCACTCCTTTGTGAGTAAAGGAGTGAGCTACAGAAGGAGAAAAGTCCACAAGTGATTAGCAGTTGATTTTCATGAGAAATTTCCAACACCTCTAATTTGATTTTTTATTTTCTTTAATGAATACTTTTCTCAGTGATGTTGTTTGTTGTTTAAGATACCTCCCAGCATCATTTTTAATGTCATTACAATATGCAGGCTCTGCAGTTTGGCGAACTTAAAATACCAAACAGCTCATAAAAAACTGGCTCTTATGGCACTACAGATAGCAGCTTCTGTATTAGATTTGTACTACTTTAATGCTGCCTTTTCTATATCTCAAGGCTGTTTCATGCAAATATTTAAGCTTAGGTATTCTCACAAACAAGCAGCCGTAACATTTCAGTAACTTTGTTTTAAAAGAAAGACTTTTGAACATGCAGGAAATATTAGTACATCAAACAAAGTGAAAGACAAGGTAGTTTAACTTGTTGGTTTGTTTGCTGAAACTCTAAAGTAAATATACTGTAGCTAAAAGTGTTCCATTTTTATCTGCCTGCTGCAGTAATGGCTGTGTTACTTCAGGGCTTACACTTCAATAATTGATCAGGGTTTGTATAGCACCGGCTAAGAGCAAAAATAAGAGTGTTGCTTTGAACAAACTGCTGCAATGTTATAGCATTAGGCACAGAAACAAGATTCTGGAAATATAGATATATAAAAAACAGGAAAAAGATGGATAAGTTGGAGTGGTAAATACTGCTTCAGGCTAGAAAGTAATGAGAATTTTTCCATAGAGAGTTTTGACCTGCTATTCAAAAATTGTTTCTTGTCTTAATAAATCCTAAAAGTGTAATTTACTTGCAAAAGGGAAAGAACAAAGGCACCAAAATTCTTTTGATAACAACACTTGTTAAGGTTGATAAGTTGGGTTTCAAATGTGTGAAGAAAAATGTGTGACAGTTTGTTTTAAGGTGACAACCTAAGTGTTCAGATACTTCCATCTTGTGCTGTTTGTAAAGCAGTACACTAGTAAATGCTTTACACATGTATATTAGAAGTGGAAACAATAGATATCTTCCCACCAAATTTTGCAAAAGCTTTAGTACCTGTTTATAAATTTATATTATCACTGGTATGATTTTGCTGTTATTTCAGGTTATTTCAGAACATGATCAGTATAAATCAAATGTGTTAATATTTCTCTCTTTTTGGCAATAAATTATTTTGAGTCTTCACTTAGAAAAGATTCTCTGTTGGTTTCAAGGATTTATATTGTCTTCTGTAGACACGTCTTTACTGCTAAATAAAAGAAGCATAGCATATTTACTGTGCTGCTAAAAATTAGTGTTGAAATGACAGTGTAAGAAATTCTCAATAAAAGATGAAAATGCCATCTTTAATCTGTTCTTCACAGAGCAGGTTCCTCCCAAGTGGATAATTTTAAATAGCATAGGTATCATAATGTCTGTTAACTTTATGGATTATGGCAAATATTTTACATTTTACGGCTAAGTGATAGGAAATGTAATTTATATACGAATCAGCGTGGTTATCTCAAACTAAGTGTGCACTAATGTACACAAAGGAAACCAGGGTGCAGCTGTATCTGAGGGCACATCATGTTTAGCTACATGAGAAAGCAATTGAAATCTGTGGGTTATTTTCAAATGTACTCATGAATAATGCTGCTGTGTTCAATTGCTACAGCAACCTGAAGTTTTTCAAAGAACAGAAAAACGAACTTCATGCTTACAGCCTCCTCCTCCTCCCTTCGTGTATAAAGCAGTAAATGAAAAAGTATTAGCTGGTTTCCAAACAGTGTAGGCAGGGTTGCGTGACATATGGTAGTTTGTTGTTATTGAGTACTTCACAATATTACATGGATGTCAGTCTCAAATACACTACATTTTTGTACCAGAAAAAGAGTGTACCTTGTGAACCTCTCACTATCTGACCACGCTAAATCCTAGGTACTGTGTCTCATTTTTGTGGTTTTCAGACAGTGGTGCTTTCTACTGGAGTCACTTATGTGCTAAAAACAAAACACAAAACCAAACAAAACCTTCCCTGGTGTTGTTTTGAAGTGACGCCACTTCAGTGGCATTTAGCAAAAAACCTGCTCAGATGGCAGAGAAGTTGCTCCAGCGGAATTTGATAAAAAGCCAATTGTATGGTATTAAGCCACATTCCTATTGAGAATTTGTATTGACAATGTATTTCTTCTTGTGGGAAATATTACTCGAAAAAGTAATGAGAAAAAATAAGATGTTAATGTTCAAACTCTAATTATTACCATCTTCCATTATTTTAATCCAAACGTGTTAGATCTGTTTTCTCCATGTCCATCCAAGGAAGCATGGGGACTAGAAGTTTTAGAAATGTAGAAGTTCAAATTCCTTTAAATTCCTTTAAAACCCTGCAAACGAATTCCTGTTCTAGAGAGCCATGATGCCTCTTATCAGATCTGCTACTGTGGGACTCCTATGAGTGATGACATCCCTGTATTGTGCAAATGATGGTAAATAATTAACAGCTTCTCTGGAAAGTCATATTTTGACTCAATTGTGGCTTAAAAACAACTGAAAATTTGAGATACCCGAGGCTGAGATTCTGTTTTGTCCCATTTTCTTTCCCATTTCAAGTTGTCTCTAACAATATCAGGACTCAAATTAAGATGGATAGGAGAAATGATATTACTTGCTTTCCAGAAGGCAAGGCTTAATATTTGGAGAACCGAAATGTGATTTTACTGGCAGCAGATAGGGAATGCATTTTTGGTGGGTGACGGTCCCTGACAGATACTCCAGGCTTGGCCACTGTCACCTGAGCTCTGCGGAGCCACCTCTGGAACAGGCAGAAGTTATAATAGCAACAGGTTTAAGGGGAAATGCCAGTGTCTTGCCCTTCAAGAGAAGGAAATTTTGCGATTTGTGGGCAAGAGCAAAGGTTGGAAATGTAAACAGATCTAAAGATCTGTGACTGACACCCCGCTGCCTCCATAAATAGGTAGCCTTGGAAGAGAAAAGAGCACTGGAGCCAGGGGGGACTGGAACAGACACCATGTAAGTGCTCCATGCAGGAGCAAAGAGAGGCTGAACCTTTTGATAGACTGCAGGAGTAGGGTAGGTTGGAACAGAAGAAGCAGCCAATTTCTTCCAAAACCATCTCTGGTCTGCTAAGAATGCTGCACCAAACCTAGAAGAGATGCTCCATCTCCTACTGAGATTGTTCTGATAGCAGTGAAGAGGAAAATAATGCAGCAATTAAATCATTCTTATTAGGTGCCTAAATTGCTTGTGATTAAACACTGGAAGGGGTAAATTGGTGACCTTTTTTATGACTAATCTGAGTTTCTTCATGGATTTGGGCAGACATTGCTTTGTGGGTTCATATTAGTTTCACATTTTCTAGACTTTTATTTCAAGCACAAATGCTTTTCTTGAAAAATAAAGGTTACTTATCCTCTTCATTGCAAAACAAAATCCAAAAATATAGTTTTAGCTTGCAGTTCATCTGAATTTGAGCCCTAAATGCTATCTTCAGTGAAGATTCACTGTGTTTACTATCGTTATTATCAGACCCTCCTCAAGGCTGTACTATTGTGTTAGGCTGTAATAGGTTTTCAAGTAACTTTTTTGTTTTCTTTTAAACAATATAACATTTAAGAACTACATACAAATCAGATATTGTGCTTGAGTGTTCTAGATATATTACACTATATTTTGCCTCTGAGGCCTGCCTTCTCCTAGAAGAGAAAGAAATAAAACTTTTGATTTTGTGTAGAAAGAGGATAAACAAAGGAATGTCTAGCGACTGCATTATGTTTTTTTTAACACACTCTTAAAACAAAATGTAAGACTAAAATTCACCAGTAACCCTGAAAATGTCCATAATGCACATTCTTTGCTGTGTTTCATCAGTATGAGCATGAGGAGCAGGTGGCAAATGCTGTAAATAATGTTTGTAAGTGGACTGACTTAGAATAATGTACAGTAAGCTATCAATTAAAAAAGATAACCTGATCAATTGATGGTCTTCTCCAGTCATTACAATAGCTGTCAAAGCCAAATTTTGTTGCACAGGGGAAAGCCTTTTGTCATAGCAACACATTCACATGAGTAATAGTTGCATGCATAACATGGGAAATAAAACCAAACAAAATTACTATTATTACTATGTGATTTTTATCCAATAGTAACAGAAAAAAAAAAACAAAAAACAAAAAAACAAGCCATGCACTTCCAAGATACACATCTAGAGCACAGGGGTTTTCTTTGCCCTGAGTAATTGCCATCTGAAGAGAGCTGTATATGTAAAGAAAGACAAAGGAGAAACTTTTGCAATTAAAGACATCAGTCTTTGTAGCTGTATACTTTTGCTCTTTTGTTTTTTAAATCCTTTATTCTGTAGATAAATGTAAAGTTTAGGGAAAGGACACAGGGAAACTTATTAACAGAGAGAAAAGAGTAGGAACATAGACGAGAGGGGAGAAGAGAAAGGATACAGGGAGGGATGCCTGAAAAAAGGAGTGTTTTCATACAGCCTCTCAGCCAGTGACCAGTGGAGGAGGTTCATACACCAAGTTTCATATTCATATTTCCCACTTGTAATTCA